CCACCAGGATATGTAGGATATGAAGAAGGAGGACAATTGACAGAGGCAATTCGTAGAAAACCATATAGTGTAATATTATTTGATGAAATTGAAAAAGCACATCCACAAGTATTTAATGTATTATTACAATTATTAGATGAAGGAAGATTAACAGATGGAAGAGGAAGAACAGTTGATTTTAAGAATACTATTGTTATTATGACATCAAATTTAGGAAGTGAAATAATAATGAAAGGAGTAGAAACAGAAGGACAAGTTAGTAAAAAAGTTAAAGAAACAGTAATGGAAATAGTAAAGAAAACATTTAAACCAGAATTTGTTAATAGATTAGATGATATTATAGTATTCTCACCACTTTCAGAGAAAGAATTAAAAGAAATAGTTAAAATACAAATGGGAGAAGTGATTAAAATGATTAAAAAGAGATATCCATTAAGTGAAGTAGAAATGACAGAATCAGCAATAGAAGGAATCATTAAATCCGGATATTCAATAGCATATGGAGCAAGACCAATGCGACGATATATAGAAAAGACAGTAGTAACTTCAATAACAAAATCAATAATAAGTGGAATGATGAAAGAGAAGAATAAAATTCAAATAGATTATAAAAATGATAAAATTCAAGTCAAAATAACAGATAAATAAATGATAATAATAATTGAATGTATTTAGTAAATAAAATTGAAAGAAAGATAAATTAAAGAATAATATAAAATACTATTCATTTCAATAACAATGAATGTTTTAAATTTAAAATCATATTCAATAATTAATATTTATTTTCAAGAATGATAATTATTGAAATATTAATGTGATATTTTAATTATTATATTGATAATTAAGAATATTGTTTATATTCTTTCTTTTTTTTTGTTTTTGTGTTTTAATTGTTGAAATTCCATATTCTTTGTAATTTCTTTTCTTCTCTAGATATCACAGGAATGTGTTCTCTCTTTATTAATTTCTTCTTCTAGTATAGTATTTTATTTTTCATATCATTTCTTCAATTGAAATAATTTTATTACTTATTTCTTCATCTTTATTACATCCTTCTATTATTTTCTTCATTTGATTCTTTATTATTTCTATTGTGTTAATTGTTTCTTGACTTTTTTCTATTATTAGTTTTCTTCTTCTTTCTGTTTCATCAATCCTATCAATTATTCCTTCTCCTCTTTTAATAGCTTCTGAATATGTTTCATCTGGTTTTATTTTAAATATTTCATTTTTAATACTTCCTAAATAATAATGATAATGTTTATTAATATCATCAATTGATTGTTGAATATTTGGAAGTGTTTCTATTTCTTCTTTAAAGAAATGAGTGTTCTTGTTTATTAACTCATCCATTTTAATTTAAGAATATCAGATAA